GGTTAGAGTGATATATCACGCTGAGGGGGGGGGGCCTGGCCCCCGCCTCTTAGTGTGATATATCAAGCTTTAAGGCACACAGCTCATCCCACTACCAATTGCTAAAGCAAAGAAGAACTCAGCTAGCATGCTAGCTTTCGTGAACAGTGAATCGCATGTTCTTGCAGTGTGAAGCATTGTCTTAACTTTTCGTGCAATGCAAAGCAGTGTCCAATGCTCATGCAACGGGAAAACGTCTCGGTGTTGATTGCAACAGCGTGTTGGTTGCTAGTCATACTGCAAGCAATTAGCCCCTCCTCCACACCCCTACCCTAGCGTCTGAAACACACACTTTCACATTGAACTGCAACATGCATGCAGCCCTCCGCTGGTAGAGCCTGTGCTTGCTTGCATTTACGCGGGAACGGAGCCAAAAGCAACATCTCTTCCAAAGAAAACATCAGCGCACGCAAACACCCACACTTGGAAGGCATATTGTAACCAAAAAATGATGAACATGGTGCAAAACATTAAGTTGTACATACACATACACATATCACACACACACACATATATATATATATATACACACACAGTACTTGAATTTCGTAATCTTGTAGCTCTGGCGCGGAGATTGTCAATTGCTCTCGCCCCAAGAGATATATTAACTAGTAACTTACAGTATGTCATATGTCATATGTCTAGTGAGCATACCTCGAGCTTCGTCCGACCCTCCTCTCCCTCCGACCCTCCATCGCCTGAGCTTCGCAGCGCACATCGCGGGACTCCAGGAGCGCCGGGGCGGCCAAGGCCAAACGATGAAGGGCTTCTTCCGTGGAGCCTTTCGCCTGGAGGCCAAAGGATGGTGGAGGGAAGGCTGGGGGGAAGGGCCGGGGGAAGGGGAGAAGAATGCAAACACTCGTTTTTGGTTTGTCCTCCCCTATGATCCCGTATGTGGGGATCAGGGAAAACCAAACCAAAAAGATCGGAAAAGAAAGAATCAAACAACATAAATATATCAATTTTTGTATGCCCCTCAAGCTCTTTCTGAGACTTTTCGAACTCTGCACGGGACCCAGCTGCCTGGAGCAACTGCGCCATAATGAAAAGCCTCAGCCAGGGCTCTGAGGAGCTCTGGGCTCTGGTCCAAAGACATCAAAGACTTTGCCAACATGGATGGTGTAGATCTTGCCCCAATCAACTCAAACGCTTTCCAAAAGCATCTTTCCTTTTAGTGTCTTTGGGGTTCTTCTATCTATGCTTGGATACCTCTGGTCAGCTTCTAGCCTGGCAAGCCCACAACCAGCTCTTGAGACTTACCGACTTACCTTTCAAACCCAGAATGACCATTCCCCCGGGCCGGTTCCGCTGAGGACTTGTTCCTTCTTGGCGTACTATCGAAGAATGTGCTTGGAGGCAAGAATTGAGTTTTTGCTCTCTGTTAGCTCCATGGATGTCTGCGAAAGCGCGCCTTTCTCTAGAAGTGTGATATGAATTATGATGAACTATGGACCTAGTGCTTCCCTACCTTCGTCTGCATGCCACGTACTGGCGGGCAAAGTGGCTGCTTGGAATCACGATGACAAGGTGCGGGACAGTTTTTGGCGCCATCTGGACACATCTTGTTGGAATCGCTAGCTGTGTTCGGCCGCAAAAGCTGATGAAACGTGTCTATAGCAGCAGCATCACAGCACACTGGTGGTCAGCACCAGTGGTGAATTGGCGCCAGAAAGGCAAGAGACCCAACATGACAGAAGTAGCGGCCTCTCACACAATGGGAATTCAGTTGCTTTCAGCTCTAGAGCCCTGGCCTTTTAATCTGTCTCATGAGGTCTGGCTTGTGCTTGCCTTTCAGGCGTGTACAAACTAACCCATCAGCTGCATCTTGCAGCTCATGAGCGGGTCTCTGCCCACTTTCAAGCATTTCTTGCTTCGGAGGCGAGGCGAGCCACCGCGGGCAGGCGCGGACCCTTTATGGATACACCACCGCGGGCTCGGTGGCCTCAGTTCCGGTCCCCTCCACCCGGTAGCACCGGTAGCCTGGGACGTCAGAGGTGGCCGTGATGGGGACCTTCCATGCCTCGCAGTAGCCCGTCTCCTCCTCGAACTCGATGCCCGTGCAGTTTGCCTGGGAGCTGCAACGCTTCTTGCAGTCTTCCAGGGTGAGCTTTGGCCGAGAGTACCATGCTGTTTGCCAAGGTTGAGTGCTGTGCACGGAGTAGTAGCAAACGGAGGTGTCGGTACTCGAGGCACCACGACAGGCACCTGTTAGGCCCTCACTGAAGCTCAACTTCTTCACTTGCAAAGGGTTGTTGTGGTAGCGAAGGCAAGTCACCTGGTGTTTCGTGTAGTCAGGCCAGGTGACGTTGATGTCAACAAACCATACTTCACACCGGCCGCCAGTGCCCAAGCCCGCCCAAGACCATTCGGCTGAGAATTCCACACCCTTGCACCCTGCAGTGTTCTCACAGTGTGCCTTACAGTCTTCCAGAGTTTCGGTGCAGTAATGCTTCCCGAAGTAGCCCTCATAGACGACCCAGGTTTTAGTGTGACGGCAGGCCTTGTTCTGCCCATCAACATCCCAGGTGGGTGTTTGAGCGGGCACAAGGTCAAGGCACAAAGCCATGAGTGTCAACAGCAGCATGCTAAGGTTTTGAAAGGCGACAGTGTGGGGGAGGTCCACCAAAACACGCGTGAAATGCCTGCGTGTGACATGAAGCATCACTTCATGCATGTCATGTCTGAATCATGCATGTCAGAATGGCCGTCAGTTCCAAATTAAATAGTTCTATTCCGCTCTGGTACAACTTTCATGAACTTTCAGAAATCCAGCCAGGTAGGATAACTCCACTACCCTGTCTGAGAAGCCGCACGCTTGCCCTTCTCCGCGCTTCTCTTTAGCAGCCCGAAACTCCCTGAGCCTTTCCTGGCGCTCAAACAGCGTATCAAAAACCGTGGTTGTTGTTGCACCCAAGGGAACTTCCTCACAGACAAAGCTGATTAAACGGTTGCCCTGAGGAAGTTCGGGGTTGACATGTGAAATCTATTTCGGAGGCTCCATGAGCCGGTGCCAAAGTTGGTTGTCGGTTGTTGTGCCCTCTCTCTCTCTCTCTCCAAATCGGTGTTCGACACACTCGGAACCGAGATCGCCAGTTTCTTCGATTCTCCCATCGCAACTTCTGGATGAAGACATTCTTTTTCCCCGAGGGTGACCTCATGCACATCGCTGGTCACATTGCTCCATATGGAGGGATAAGACACCACGCGTTGGCTTGTGGCAAGCGGTTGGCACCTCCAGGAACTGCAGCGCTTCAGGGAAGTTTCCGAGCTGGGCTAGAGCCAAGGCCTCTCAGCAGTTGGCACACTACTAGTTGCAAGGATGCTATTTGGTGGAGGCCATTGCTAGTAGGTTGAAGGCCATCGCTATTAGGTACTAGTGGCAAGGACGCAGGTCGTTAGATGGTGCAAACTCATCAACATCGGTCATCGCGGGGGTGGCGTATAGCGCATCTAGATTTCCCCAATGACCAACGTTGGAAGATGAAGCCCTTAGTGGGCCATGATTGGGAAAAGACACCCGAAAGCCCTGACGCCTGATTGTTGATGCAAACGAGCTGTTGATCTTTCTGCTCCTGGGCTTAAACAAGTGCTTAGGATCAATGTCATCTCGATTCTGCGAACGCTGGCTCAATGAACCTCATCATGCCCACGTCCCCACGGATGAGCACTTCATAAAGCTTGGCACTTCAATGTGCATGGGATTGTGCTAGGCATTTTTTGAAGAAATTGCGTTTTCAACACGCCAAATTGCTCGCCAAGCCACATCATCCAGTGCCAGCCCCAGGTTCTCCGTAGCTTTTCGTGCAGTGTCCAAAGCTTCTTGAAATTCTTTCCCTGGAGTTGAGCGAGGGCAACTATATTAATAGTTGGTTGCAGGAACCGTCCAAAAAATCAAGAAGTGTGATGCGGGCTTGGCTAGAAACTGTGGCGCAGGAGTCGTTCTGCATCTTTGCGAAATTTGGAATGTTGTTGTTGGTGAATGATCACATGACAATACCACAGGAATAGACATGCCTGTTCATCAAAGCGGCCCCGAATGTACTGCTGAGCCATCTGAACTGCTCCACCAGCAAGAATTGATAAGAACTGCATGTTTCACAGAGCTGGCCATCAAATCATATAATTTCCATTCTTCCTAGTTCGCTTGCTTTTGGCCAAGCCGCTGTCCAAAAGAATGGTGGACAAAAGGCTCAGCAACTTTCCGTGACCTGCGCCGTTGGGCACCAGCAACGAGTTGAACAAACACACAAACACAAAGAGACGGGAATGTGATGTCCAGGCCCCCTTGGCAACAATCCTCACAGAAAGTTTGACGAAGACTTTCATCAAAACACTGGACATCCTGTTTTTTTCCCTCTCCCTTCCCTCACGACTGGGAAACACACCTGATGAAGTTCTGTAAATCCTTTCTTGGCTCCTACCTGTCAAACTGGGCAAGCTGGTCTGGTCGTTGTGCTCTTTTCTCACACTCGCAATGCGAAGGGGTAGAGCACCGGTGCATTGTCCATCATCCAAGTCACAAAAAAGCGCCAAATCTCCGGCAACCCTTGATGCACATCGCTCATGTTAAAGAACCATCGTCTTGTAACGTTGATCGGAATGCCATTGGCTGCAATGAATGCCTCAGAGTAACAATGAAATTCGTCCACTGGCACAGTATGAGGATAGAAAGCACTTCGCACCTCCTCATGGGTAAAGATGGCGTCGTGCCCATTAAAGAACACCAAATCGTAATTGTAACGGTTCAGCAGCTGAACTTCATATGCCAAAGAACAGCCTCGAATTGGGACCTCCTCCGGACTGTGAAAGGAATTGAAGAAGTTCCAGAGATTGGGATCATAAAGCATGGCCCATTGGTATGGTGGTGGTATTGACGGGTTCGCCTCCACCACAACCATGGTGGCTCGCACTTTTGGCAGTATTCTCTCCAACACAGGGCAGTCGTAGGAATCAATATCGATTTTCAAGACATCAACATCCTTGCCGTTGAGCCCTTGGCGCACTAGTGGAAGCACATTTTGAGGCGTCACCTCCGAACACATGACATGGACATTTGGCAAATTTGCCTTGTGATGTTTGCATTTTTCAGGATCTCGTTCGATGGCAACCCCACTCGCCTGGGTAAAGTGAGAATAGTTGTAGAGTGGATCGTCTGTGCGGCCATCATGTGCTCCAATATTCACATACTGTCCCACCAAAGGAAAACCTGCTTCAGCGATCTGCTGCAGTGTAGGCCAAACATCCTGGGTGTTTGCCAAATCTTCAATGCATGGGCCACGTCCCACATTTCGAGTCCTGCGAAGCTCCGACATAGTAGCTTGATACTTTTCGAAGTTAGCACGGAAATCCTCCACTGCATCCTTGACGTCGTCAGGCGATTCACCATCAGAGACATTCAAGACCAAAACGACGCCTTCTGTAGCATTCCAGTGATGCATGGGATTGACAAAGCCCTTGAAGGTGGCAAGGGACACATGTGACAGGGCCAATGCTTGCCAAGCAAAGGACCACATGATCTCGATCTATGAAAGTGGGTTCAAGGAATCTACAACATTTAGGAGAAATTTGCCACCAACACGAATACATTTACATATGCACACACACACAGTTGGAACATGTTGGCTCATGCTGAGTATCCATCCTGTGCATATTAGGGCCGAGGCTAAGGCCCCTGAAGTTGTGTGTCCTTGTTGTTGTGCATTTGCAAGCAGTGCAGGATTGAGAGAAGAAACCGACCTGTGTTGAGTCAGGTTTGGGCCGCGAAGCCTTCACCCAAAACCTTCACCTGCTGATTCTTGAGCAAAGAAGGCCCGAATGGCCCATATTGAAACAAATGGTGCTCTTCCGAATTGAGCCCAAAAGGGCCACGGTTGATGACGGCAAACGTTGCACAGTTCATGGGATTTGATGGGAGCCTCTGATTTTGAGACCAACCTCCTCGTGCCATGTCTTTGCCAAGATGTGCAAGGGCCTTAGTGACTCGACCCCCCCTACACGGTGCAAACAAATTCAATTGAAAACGCATAGGAACCAAACAGGCTAGATCTCTCCCTCTGACAATGTTTTGAGGAACCACTAATATATACCCTGACCGGGCCACATCTTTAAACAAGCTGTTCATCAACAAGTAAGCAAGCAGGATACGTAAACAACGTTTCCATGTTAGTTAGTACATCACAAAGGGGATGCTGGATCGATTGGATGATGTTCGATGTATGTTCGATGTATCCCATTGCTCCATCGACCATCCTCGATCCCTTTGCGACCCTCGCCTTCTTCTGGGCTGTGCTTGAGCGCTTCCTGGCCGCAAAGCTGGTGGCAAAGACCATGTTGTCAAGCTCTGAAGAGCTAATTGCTGGGACATCTTGACAAACACGATTCTGATCTCATCTCTTCACAAACACGGACGTAGGAATTGGATCACAGCCCATTTCCACACATTCAGAGTCATCGTGGTGCAGCCCCAGTGCGCTCACCACAAACGATTGAACAAACTTCAGGTAAAACCTCGAGAATGACCGGTGTGTGTTGGATCCCACACAATCCCACTACCAGCGAGTGTCTGGTCTCTGTCATGGCCAAACACGGATCGCCGGATGGCAAAACACTTAAAGGCGAGGTCAATTGAGCAAATTCAAAGCGCTAAGCAGGTCAATGGCAGGGGGTGGTGCGGAAGGAACAAAGTGAATTCAATCTTTGACATGTGTGTGACATTGATGCACCAATTCCCGCAAACAACCAAAGTCCCAGCATTCGGACAAGGATGTGGTTTTGCACCGGATGCTTTCCAATCGTGCCTTCTTGCCACACAAAGCACGGCTTTTCATGGCCCAGCGCAATACGTCGTCCAAATCGAGACTCACATGCTAACGGCAAATCGCCGCATCGGAAAGTTGCTCTCACGGGTTTTGGTCCTGGCTTTTGGGGCTGGGACGCGCTCGCTTTTTCCAAAGAGGAGTCTTGAGGGGAAAGGTTATTACGGAATATTTACACCTCCATTGACCTCCTGTAGAAAAGGTCTTGGACAGCGTTTCCATCCATTTGGGGATCTTTGCATTTGGTAAACGCGCGCACGCGCGCACACACACACATACAGATGCAGATGAAGATGCAACACATATATGTATACACTCAAGCGCTGATGTTAAATCATCTGAGGGCCGTTCCGAGCCTGCCGTGTCTCTCCATTGTTTGCAAGTTAGTTTCGTGGATTGCCAGGAGACAAAACTTTAGAGGAGACGGCTCAACAGGAATCCAAAGCTGATGCAGGAGACTTGCAGGTTCGTACCTGGTGTTTTCATCTGTTCGCTGTGGGTTTCCAAGAGTTCATAAAATGAGGAGTCCTGGTCGATTGTCAATCAGTTGGGGATGTGCGACTTTTTCCCTGCAATCAGTGCAATACATTTTATAGACATCAACTTGCCTACTGACTCTATGAGACTTTTCCCTCCCATAAGAATCCGTAGGCAACATTTTGGACTCCACCAACAGTGACAGAGAAGGAGACACGAATCACAGAGCGCTGCGGGCCATGACATGTTTTTCGTTTGTGCAGCTGCTCCTTCCAAGATGGGCCAAATGTGTCCTATGCTTATGCTTGGCTTGTGGTCTGCAGCCTCTGCCTGGTGCTCATGCTAAATGACATCTCACGCCATAATCTAGACACGAAGAAGATGATGGTTAACAACACGAAACTCCTGAAGTGTCTTGGGGAACCTCAGGTCTCGCGGGTATATTGTGTATATATATATATATATATTGTTTTTGAAACAGCAATGTAATACCCCGGCATTCCAACCACCATTCATTCAGTAGTCTTCACCGAACAAACTGCTTTGCTGTTGTACTGAGGGTTTTAGACTGCATCAGGTCAAAATTTCAGTCAACGGTCTTCGAAGGCTTGGGCATATTAATGAGCATGTATATGTTCTGTATATGTATATATATATATATATGTGTGTATCTACATGCATGTCCCTGAACACCTGACAGTTACTGACCGCAAGGCTTCTTGCAGGGTAAGCGGTCCATACCTCAGAACGGACAGCCGACTAGAATATCACTATGCTCAAGAGGCAAAACACAATGCGCCAAAGGATAGCTCGTGTCTAGCCAGTCATTGCGTGTGATGTGCTGGCTATCGCTGAATTTCTTGATCTTGATCCTTACATATCCTTACCGTTCACTTCATTTCACTTCCCTTCCTGGCGGTCTTGGCGTACTTCTGCTCCGCCTTGAGCGCTTGTCGAATCTTTCGCGTCTTCCTCAGCTGAATTTGCGTGCCCGTGAGGTCTGGTGTGGTCTGGTGTGGTCTGACGTCGATTCGCCCAGGGGCTGGGCCTGGTCTGGCCGTGTAGGTCGTAGGTAGAACAGGAAATTCGTTTTTTGGGGGAACGATTGTACCATACCTCACATGAGGAGCCGAAACTGCTCGTGACACCTGGTGACTAGAAAGGTAAAACCGCAAATCATTCGCATGAGGCTGAGTCCGGGAGTTCTGGTTTCAATGTTTCCATCATGGATTTGGGACACTTCTTGCTCAAATTCTCTCAAGTCATCATCTGGGCCGGACGAAATCTCTGACAAAGTTTAGTTTGTCTTCCTCCTGGTCGTGGATTGAACCATTCCGTGGAGTGGATTATATATAACTACATCTAGCACCATGCATGGCCTCTCCTTTCCGCTCGTTCTGTCCTGAGTTTGTCAGCCTTTGTGCTACCAGCCAAGCGTCTTGGGTCGAAGGTCCAGAGGCATGTACTTCTTCCCCTTGTACTGCTTTCGGGCCTACATGGCCCGGTTTGGCCCGTTTTGGCCATACCACAAAAACTGTCTCAAACTGGAGGCCGTGAACATGGGATGCAAAAGGCCAAAACATTTGGCTCAGATGAAGTTTGCTTTCTCACTGTTGTTTCTCACTTCGTGCTCCCATCAGCGGCGGGTGATGTTCTGCTCGAGCCTCGGCCTTCTGCTTCATGTTGTAAACGGTCAAGATGCGAGCAATAGCCTGCAGGAAGGCATCTTTGCGTCTTGCGTTCTTGCGTTCCAAACGCACACCCGGCCTTTCGTACATTGTAACACACGTACAACACAAAACAATCAATGTTAATCATTCATGAGCTATTGGGATGCAAAGTATCGTTGTCAATGGCTAGTGTGAATGGCTAGTGTTGAAAACTCACAATCAAGCCCGAGGGGTAAGGGATCAAAATAAGAGTAAAAATAGAATCAAACAGAATATTCAACCGGGATCAATAAAAAAATAAAAAGGTAATCAAATTCTAGCCCACTGAGGATGGTTGGGGTAGTAGAGGAGAGTGTACCTCCCCAGGAGCTCCCTCCTAGTGGGGAGCTATTTCCACTGGTGAACCATTTTTCGAGTAGGGCTACTCAATGACTGGACGGCAACCCTATCGTTGGGTACCTACTTTCTTCCCAGGGAGCTGCCTCTAGTAGAAAGCAATCAAGCCTCTATTTGCGCAAGCAGGGGACCAGGAGATCGACAGACGAGCGCCGTAGGAGAGCAAAAGACCAGCGGACCAGGAGACAGAAGGACTAGGATACCAGGGGACCAGCGGACCACAGGACCAGAGGACCAAAAGACCGGAGGACTAGGGGACCAGTGGACTAAAGGACCAAGGGACCAGCCAGAGGACCAAGGGACCAAAGGACCACATTACCAGAGGACCCACCACAAGGCCAGGAGAGCAGCAGAAGAGGCCTATCAAGGAATATATATTTTTTGATTCGCTTTTTATTTGTTTTTTGATACTGTTTTTATTTTTTTTGTTGATGCTCTTTTTATTTTTTTGATACCTATGCCCTCCTGTACTGCCATCCTCCAAGACCACCCACACATCCACACCAAAGGTGTACTGTCAGCAACTTTTTGTTTGAAGATCTCAGCTTTACTTGTTCATCAACAAGGGGATTCATCAGTAAAACCCTTAAAAACATAAAACAACTTCAGTGTCACATCACACATCAGGTTCATGAAACTAGAGTCTAACCGGGCCCGCCCCTCTCCTTCCGCACAGTCTTGATCTTGGCCAACTTTGAGGCCGCACCACCCGAGACCTTGGCCACTCGCAACTGGGCCAGCTCGGCCTTCATGTCCTGGCTGCTTCGGAACACCGGTGAAGGGTGGGGAACGGCCCCAATGATTTGTCTGTCAGGCATCCCTGCAAGTGGTGTCAAATGTATGTATATATTATATATATAGGCATATATATATATATATCCCCCCGCAGTCCTTACCTTTTCTATGACAGCATCGTGTTTTACAGTTTCGTGCAGATTTTGTATTTGCTGGCCATTGCAGTGTTGTGTGGCTGTTGTCGATACCTAGTATGCATGAATTTATGTCGAGTATATTTTCAACTAATTCTTAAACATATTCAATACATATAGTTTGTTCCCTTGCCCCCGGAGAGCCACCAGGCCTCCTTGTGCACTGCAGGTGAAGATTGCATTCAATACGTATTGAAAATAGATTTGGGCAGAAGAAGCAATTAGACACTCCTAGGGTTTTCTGGGAAATCTTCGGGTTTTGGTGGAACAAAGAACATCAAAGAACTAAGGCTGGACAGAAAGTCTTGGGGAGCCTCGTGGTTCCTTTTTTTGTCTAGCGCCAAGCAAGGAGTTTGCTGGAGCGCGGCGCAACAAGCGTTCACTTGTTCGGGTTAAAACATTGACATTGTACGAGGTGACACGAGGCTCGGGGAAAGGCGTTTGTTCTTTGCTATGTAATTATCGTGTAAGCCCGTAGGCTGATGGGGCAGCGTCCTTCTTTTCAGAGATTGGTTGATTTCTGTTTTCCTCAAAATGGATATGCTTGGTTCCTTGCGGCATTTTGGAGCATTCGTGTGTCTTGGAGGCTTGGCTCTTGGGGCGGGTTGTGTCCGAGACAATGGAAAGTGTCTTTCACTGTTTCAGTTAGCCAGTCCACTCTCAGCCTCCCTTGCCTTCGATATGGTGGTTTTCGTGGGATGCAAGTTTGGTTTTCAAAAATGACCTGTTTGCATCTGCTCGGAGAATGTGGCCTAATAGACTTATCTTCCTCTGCCTCCAAAAATCTGATAGTTTTAAATATACACTCCATGCGTGTTTGCTTTTTGCAGTACGACTTACTTGGTTGGTTTGTGCTCTATCTATGACAGTGGATGGTATTTTGAGAATTCGTCTCAGCCCCTTCATCTGAAAAGCATCTAGTTTGTTTAGTTCAGATTTAGTGAGTTGGATCACTTCCAGGCTGTACATAACTTTTGATTGTATGATTGCTCTGAACACACGCAGTTTCCAATTTGTAGTGGTATTCGCCTTGTCCCAGAAGATCTTGAGTTGTCTGAAAGTTTCATCGTCATGGCAATTCTGTTGTTTATTTCTGTGGCGTCACTGACCGTATCTGTCAATAACGATCCTAGGTATACTGCACAACTGTCTCGTGGGACCTTAGTTCCATCTAGATATTTAATTGTTGACGTCTTTCTGTTCGTTGTCATGTTAATAAATTTTCTGTAGTTGAGTTTCATGTTGAAGTAGGAGGATTCCACTTCTATTTCTTTGAGCAGTCTATTTTTTGAAGGCGTGCGGCGTGTGGTCGCCAAAAATCAGTGTTGTCAGCATAGAGTATTTCTGCAAAAGTTATTCCTTCAAGGGGTTCTTTCTGTTTGGGCGTGGACAGCCTTGCCTTCATATCTGAGAACATCGTAGACATGAATATGATGAAGAGATAAGGGGATAAGGGACATCCCTGTCTTATGCCGGAGTTTTGTGTAAGCCAGCTTGATTCTCCTTCATAGCAGTAACATGGAATTGGGGACTTTCATACATGTTGCCAATTAATGCAAATAAATGCATCGTGGTTCTAATGAACATATCTTAGAACATCCTGGGATTTTCTTCGAGACCCTGGGATTTCCTAGTGCTTTACTACTTCACTCACCTCCCATTGTGTCTACCGAGGTTATTGACAAATGAAGGCGGTGAGGAGGCATTGCAGAGGCTAAGGGGGCTAATGACCAGAGAAGTTTTAGGGAGTCTGGAATGAAGGGAACACATTGAACAACACGGTGCAGCTGGAACAAATATTGGAATGGCAGGATGAACAACTTTGCCAGACACCTATATATATAAATTGACACTGCAAACAGCATAGAACACTTTATGCCAAAGAACGACATGTAGCAAAAAAGGAAACGGTAGAAGACCAAATGGGGTTTGAGACATGCTTATTTGATCCCTTCAGGATTCTACAAGTCAGGTAAGGCTCTTCATATTTCAGGCCCTGGTGGCACGGATGGAAGTTTAGAAAGAGATGTACATTTGATAGCTTCCTTTTGCTACCTAATAGAAATTCAGTACATACTGAAAAATATCATGATGTAGTGGAAGAATTGACAAAGTCATCAAACATATATAGCCAGATTCGTTTCTCACTCATTAGGGTCAGGAGTTGGCAACAAAATTAATGAAGAACAATCTAATAAATTTGCTATAACAACAAAAATCATACAGTACGTATAACGCATGTTGATATTATTTGATAATAATCTCAATAAGAAAGTCTAAAATCAATGTGCAATGGAGTTCACACTCGAAAAAAAAAAAAAAAAAACAGCAATAGAAATGGACAATATAGTAGCAACAGCAAATGACTCAATGGTAAACATTATAAACTTTGGATTACCTGAAGAAAGTCAATACGTGCACAACCCAAAGGGACACAAGAACATCATATTTTACATCTCAGCTGAAGACAACACTCATTTGGATTTAAACATTGTAATACTGTTTGCAACACTTCAAAACACAAATGGATACATAGCACTTTTTTGCGTCCTTAGGAGGCTTACATGCAATCATGCAGAGATACAGGGCAAACTGTAGGTGGTCAACTCGTTCACTATTGAGTATGACATAGTATAATCGTCACAGTGGTTTGTATGAGTGCTTCGAACCTAGAGATGTCAAAGACATTGATGACATTAAGAGTTCAAACAATTGCCTTGGGATGCTTATTGTCATGATTACAGTATGCCAATGGTTTACAGTAGATGTATTGTTACAGGCCACCACCGATGGTTTTACTTAGTACTTCTACTACAGCTGTGGTGACTGTAACAACGACAGGTGATAGGAATGAATGGGGCAGAGTAGGCAACAAATACACAAGATACTCATTAACTCATCTGCTGGTGCAACTCATGCCTGAACATCCGCCATGAGAGGTAGGTGCCGGGGGCCAGTGTACATATATACTGTATAGATCATATGGGAGCAGCGTTCGATCCCCGATTCGCTACCATGTGTCAACAGTCAGTCTGCTTTCAGCTGCTTGCCCTTTCCGCCCGCGACACCTCCAGCTCTTTGAGAAGCTCCTAGCTCTTGGAGAGGCTCACGCATAGGGAGACAAAGACTTGGGATTCCTGTGGTGCACCTTGGGGTTTGTCTACTTATATAATCTTATATAGTCTACTTGATCCCTCTTCGCTGAAGTCAATACTTGTGGATACTTTAGTACAAATCTGTTCGAATCACACATAGCATCACATAGACCTTCCCATCATTGTTCCTCAATCTGCAGCAGCGCAAAATGCAAGAGCAACAATTCATCCAAACCTGCACTGATAAACCTGAGGAGATGTTCGCAGCATGTGACCAGTTCTGATGTCAATCTTAGCAGTCCTTGGAGGTCTTGTTGCGGAGTTCATATGCTTTGACCCTCGCCATGGCTGCTGAGGTGGACCCACCGATTTTCGCGCTTGAGCCGTCCTGGGCCAAGCGCAGAGTGCCGGCGGAGCGGCGAACGGAGCTGAACTCACAAACCGAAACCACTTCTTGGGGAGTGACCTTTCCGACTTCCAAAGTGGTTCAGCTTCATAACTTCACGTCAACTGGAACACCTTCCAAAAACCTCTTTCCAACTTCCAACTTCGCGGTTTTTCGGCCACACCCGTTGCTCCCGTCGCCTGAGTGGCCACAAGGGCATTGTCCAAGTCCTGGAGCTCGTGAAACATCTTGGCCATCAAGTAGAAACACTCAGCCTGTTCCTGTGGGCGGCTGCAGAGCTTGGATGGAGCTGGGATCTGCAAACCAACACGTGGCTGTGGGGTTGCGAAACCAGTGCTCGGTGGAGTCCATTGTTCTCCTCAGTGCAATACTTGGAGACTTTGAGAGATGCCGGAGAGCCTCCCGGTCGGCGACGTGTTCATCTTGCCCGGAGGTCTCGAACTTGTTTCTCAGAAGGGTGAAGGGCATCACCGAGCAAAAACGTGGCCGTGTTCAAAAGCGGCGGCCATCAGGGTTTTTGACCCATGCTTCCATCGTCATTGGTGGTATGAGACGACCAATGTACTCTACTTCCTGCAGAACCGTTGTGGAAGGACCGTCGCACCAAACTGTGCACCAGGCCTTTGTCATGGCTGCTGCCTGAAAGCTTGCCGCAAGGGCCTCTGCTTCAGTCATGGCTTCCACGCCACTCTGCGTGCCCTGGCAGTTTTGCGGATGAGGATGGGACTTGGATTCTTCATGATTCTTCGCTCCCCCTCACCAGAATGTCAGAATCCTTGACTATCAGCCCTTTTTCAGTGCAGTCAGGTCACATGCGAACACCGATCCTCACACACACACAGAAACATGACCCAGGGGTCGGTCACTCGGGTGGGATGCAGGAGTTTCATCAACCCCCTTGCTTTGGGCGCTGGAGGGCCTTGCCAACGGCCGCCAGTGCTTCTAAAGCTTTCAGCTGAAAGGACTTTAAGCCCAAGTCCTGGTAGATCGCCAAGGCCTCCTGGCCAAACGTGCCCCGGCGGCCCACGATCCAACACCGCCTGATTGTAAGTGATCTCAACATGGAACAATGTGGGCCTTTGTCTTACGGTCATTCGCAGGATTTCAGTGTGCCATGCGTGTCGCATGTGCAAACTTCAGCTTAGGTTATATACAGTAGTCAATATTTGTGATTATATATGTTGTTTACGTTTCTCCAAGAAGCCAGTGGAGAACTCTAGACAGCATGGGAGAGTCAAGCAAAAACAGAAGCAATGCTTTGCAGCTGCTTTGCATTCCCCGGTTTTTTATGTTTTTTTTTTTTCCATTTTTCCGGGCGTTCCCCGTCTTTCTTTTGCCGCCTTTGCCGCACTCACGCCGGCCGGCTCTCCACAAATGCCACGGGCTTGGGCCACCAAACACAGCGCCTTTGCCTCGGTTCGCCGAAGGACCGAGCTTGAGCACATGCTCTGATTTGGGGACCGTCCGTGAGGAGCAAATAAGAACCAAATATTGATCCATATGGATCCCATGCCAACAGGGCGGCTGAGGGGCCTGGAAGCCAATGTTTTTGCAACAGGTGGATGTTTCAATTGGTTTGGGTCAAGCTCCCATGCCTACCATGAAAAACACCAGAAATGCAATACCATCGGTCGGCGTCAACAAATGCACAAACGGGGTGACTTAATGGCTGTTGACAACACAAACAATACTACACTCCGATGAACATGTTGGGAGTGGACGGCGGCTCTTGGCCAAAATGATCCCAACTTGGAGGGGTTCAGATCTTTTTAATCTTTTTCACCTGTTTTTCTTTTGGTTCTTCCACTTCCGTGCGGAGTTGTGCTTCACCAGAACCGCTCGCAAGGCGCTCGCGCAAGGACTGCCGGCCTCGAGGAAACGATCTTGGAGCTTTCGGGATCTCGTCAGGGCGTCCAAGCCATAAGACAAGGCCTTGCGGTGAGCGTGAGAAGGCTAAAACATGCTAGAACCCAGGCAGACTAAGGTAGAAAATGTAAGCAAATGAACAACGAGAAACACTTCCCATCTGTTTACCCACGGTTTCTGGGTCATTGTGGCCTTATCAGCTTGCCCGAAACGAAGTGTGCTCTGACTCGCCACGTTGTTCAAGTGCCAAGGTGAAGAAAACTCTGCTCGCCTTCAGTCTTGGACTTGTAAAGCCAAGAAAAAACTGCATCTTGCTTATCACACGTTTAGAAACAAGAACCGGGTGTGTACTTAAACAGGGAGACTCCCAACCAATGGGTTTCCTCTTCCAATGAACAGTGCCCCAACTGCCTGACGCGCTTTGCCCATGGAGATTGCGGCATCTGTGGCGGTGCACAGCACCATCACTTCACGGTGTCGGTCTCCGAGCAAACGCAGAAGCCTTGGTCAGAATGAGTGAAGGGGAAACTTCATATGATGCACAGAATGAGAGAGCCTTCCCAAAGGTGAAACATCACCAAACACGTGGAACGTAGAGAGGACCGACCAACATGCGAGGTCTATGACAGTCTATGATATCTCTGACTCCAGCATGCTCCATCTCAATGCTGGTGGGTCCCAACATGTCCCAACAGGTGGTAAAAACATTGGCACATCGAACAGGCGACACATGAATGAAACAAATGGATGAAAACTCTTCCTCCTTGAGGGGCTCAAGCATGAAGAACATGAAGGGAGGTCAAGGTCTCAATGGATATCTCATGGCATCTGGTTTATTCTGGTTTCCTGCAAGAAGTTTGTGGCAAAAGCCGGTATGAACGACATGGACTACCGTTTGTGCCAAGGTCCCCGGCCTTAAAGATTCGGCTGCACGATTCCACACGTCGTCCGGGTTGCGTCGGGCGAACTGGACCTCATCTGTTCAACGGAGCCGTTACGTGAACGAACCGGTCACGGTCACGGTTCGTTGGCAAACATTCAAAGGAACGTTTTTTCCAAAGAAACAAAAACGAGACTTTGGGGCTGTCCTATTGCCAGTAGCAGATGATGGTGGTTAGGTTGCAGGCCTTTCTCTAAAATCATCATAGTTGTCTGCCGACATTTACAGTACTGGTAACAGGACAGACCGTCTGACGATCCTGTTTGCACACCTGCTCCCAACCTTTGAAATGTGAAGCCTTTTCCCAATGGTCAGAACCTCATTGTTGCCGTCTTCAGCTTGCACAAGATCATTACCAGAAAAATTGGCCATTTGCAAGGGACTAATGCGGGTCGTGCTAGCAATCCTTTGGCAGCAAATCAAACCTAATCTTTTACAGTGCTGATCATCTCGCACTGTGTCTCCCAACTTTGGTCTGCAGCGCTACTCCGCAGCGCGTGCACTCCAGTACAAGTGTTCTCAAGGTATTTACTCCGCCGCATCTCTGATCACTGGCCAAGTTGCAGAAGCCAAACGTGGGATCGACTGTCCCGTGGGCAACTACCCCCCCGGCGCGGCGGGACAACACCCGGTGGACCCAAAATCGACCCGTTGGCCAAACCCGTCAAAACCTTCAACCCCTCCTTCATCCTCTCTGGCTTTTCATGTGTGGAATCATCAGTCCAACCCCTTCAAACCACCACGACGCAAATACCGGCAGCCCGCAAAGTGGCTCGCGCCTTGGCAATGGCATGTTGTGCCACCGCTTGTCCCGTGATGTGCCCCAACTCTCGGAAGAGCTTCAACGCATGGCTTGCCGCCTGACCGGCAAGATCGGTTGGGGTTGTCTTGGAGAAGAAAGCCTTATATAAGTCAAGGGAATGGACCACAACGGTTTCAGCTTTCAGGGTTTTTGTTTCTGTCTGCATGCATTCATCGTACACGAAACTCTTCCCTCCCTCAAATCATCAAGCAAACAAGTCCCTCAAGGATCTGTACCTCCAAATGTTTTCATGGATTTATCAAAGGTGGTTGATGATGGTTTGCCTCCGCATGTCCCTGGCCGCAGTGTCACTCCAAGGCCAAGTTTTCTATGCGAAAAGCGTGTCCTTGTCAAGTTGGAGCATTCTGGGTCCCATCCTACGAGTATTTGCACATGTTCCATTTTTGTGGGATGGAAGCAGCTGCTTGCTGGGTCGCCGACGACGGCCCTGCCTGAAGTGCTGCCATATTGTCAACTCCTAGCAGTACTTTGGACTTGCACAGCAAAGCTGTGGCTTCACCTGGGCTGGACGCATCCAAAAGCTTACTCCCAAATGTGCAACTTTGCAACTTCGATCCATTTCAATTTCGTGATTCTGGGAAGGGAAAGTGTTGGAAGTGTTTGATCAGTTCGTTTGTGGCTTTTGATGGGTGAATGCTGCAACGCCGTAGGTGATGCCCCAAACATACACACATGAACATACCGACCTGATGCCAGTCGTGAAATGGGATGGATGGGGCCACAACACTCCACAACACCACCATCAATAGAATCAGCCCGCCCTGGTGGCACTCTGTGATACAGGTCACCCTCGCTGTTGCCCGCTTGTTTGAAGACCTCCATGGCGGCAGTGGCACTTTGCACTGCTTCCTGCATGGCACCCGACCCACATGACAAACCTTCACATGGAAACAATGCAACAGGCGGAACGCCTCGACAGCTCGAGTAGTGGCACGGTGCTTCCCAGCCACGTGCAAATTCGGCACATCGCCGACTAAGCTAGTGGACAGCTAGTGGCCGTAACTGCCCAAGGGCTACCCCCCCGCACCTCACGACTTATGCTGGCCATTTCGCATGGCGTTTAAGCTTAGTGGGATAGATTGCCGTAAGACTGTAAGGGTAGTAAAATGCCCTAAAATCCTGCAGGGTAGGAAACTGATTTAACGTACATGACATGTAGTGACCACTGACACTACATGAGCGCATCGGGTCACAGCAGTTGGCAGTCCATCAACCCCTTTGGCACCTGCTTTGTGATGGCAGCATGACTATCTTTTCTAAGCTGCCAACGAACATGCAACACTTTGGCTCAACGTGGATGTGTGGACCATGCACTTTCAGGTCCTTTCGAACAACATTTGTCAATCTTCCCCAATCCTGCCACTGTCTAGCTTAGTCCTAGTGACCATGCCTATGCGCCTAGAAAACTAGTAAGACTGACAAGCTAATTATATATGTGTATATATATACACATAATTATACAATATTATACACTTAAGTGCATAGCCGCTCGCCCTTCTTTCTTGCTGCAAGGCACTG